TTAATGCAAGCAATATAGAATTGGAAATATCTCAACTTATCCCTGAATATCAAGTATCTAGAATACAAGATTAAGTCAAACCCAATATTAATAAAAAGACAATAAAACAACTCAAAAACACACTAAAAGAGCTGCTTCTTTAGAAATATTAATTAATCCTCAACTAAATTAAGGGAAGAGGATAATAAAATTGGATTTAAAGGTAGGCAATACAACTGATAAATTTTACTATTACTATTACATGGCTATATACCAAAAATGTTAATCCAGAAGAAAGCATTTCTTAGATGCCTACACATATTTTTTTTAGTAGAACTTTTACTTTTTTATTTTTATTTTTATTTTACTTATGGATCCCAGTTCCTTCTCCCTCCCTCCCTCTCTACCCCCTCACATGCACCCCAACCATCCTCCCCTCCCATCCCCCCCACTCCACATGTAGGGTGATGCCATGCAGGATGAATCATCTAAATCTGTCAAGTCATTTGAAGTAGGGATTAGGACTTCTCTCCTGTCTCTAAGTTAAGGGAGGGGAGGAGAGTAAAGTATGTGGGACTAGGAAGATTGAGTCAGGGAGGAATAGAAGACAGGAGAGAGAGAGAGAGAGAGAGAGCATAAAAGAGAGAGCCATTATAGGCTTGAAGAGAAAACTGAACCTAAAGAAATATCTAGAGACCTACAAGACTGACTCCAACTAACAATTTGAGTAACAGTGGAAAGACTACCATAAATGCCCTTCCCTAATAATGAGATCGACAACTAACTTATCCACCAAAATAGAGCCCTCATCTAGTACCTGTTAGAAACAGAAGCAAATACCCACAACTAAACACCGAGTGGAACTAGAATCCAGATGCAGAGAGAGAGGACAAGACCAGGTTGCAGAAACACGTAGAGACAGCTGACCTGAACAAGGAGGAGCTAATGGGCCCCCAGACTGATAGCTGGGAATCCAGCATGGGACTGACTCAGGCCCCCCTGAACATGGGTCTCAGCTAGGAGGCCTGAGCAGTCTAAGGGATCTTAGACAGTGGAACCAGGATGTGTTCCTGGTGCACAAAAGGACCTTGCAGACACATCCCCCATGGAGGGATACTTCCTTGGCCTATACATTCTTAAGACTGAATCATGAAGAAATTGAAAAGAACAATAACAAGAAAGGAGATTGAATCAGTAATAAAAGCCCAGCACTACCCAGTTAGTGCCCCTGACCTTAGTTGTCTTGGGTTTTGTTCAATGAAGGCAAGATTTAAAGAACTAATATTGATTCATAGAAGCTATTCCAAAAATAGAAGAGTAAAAATTCTCCCAAACTCATTTCGTAAATCCAACATTATTTTAATTAAATATCCAGGTAACCATCCCTCTCTCTGCTCTCAGTACACAGAGTAACACTCAGATTTATAGTCTTGATATACACAAATGTAAAATTATGAACAAAACTAGGAAACCTAAGCCAACTGCACAGTATAAAGATTATACATTTGGACAATGGGATTCATCCTGAGTAGGCAATTATAGTTCAATATATGGAAATCAGCAAACATGATGCCAAACTTCACCACATGACCATGAAGGACAGTCCTGTCAATCAGTGCCAATAAAGCATCTGACAAAAGTCAAAGGTGTTTGGTGATTAAAACGCTAGATACATTGTGTAAACGTAACACAACATATAACTATCAATTATAATAACCCAACTGACAAGCTTCCTAAGATGTGAAATGAGAGTCCCACACTCTCCACTTTTATTTGACAGAGTTCTATAAACTATAGCCAGGGCACTCAAGCAAAAAGAAGAACTAATGGGCCCCCAAAGTGAAAAGTTGCCCATGTTTACGAATGATTTGATTTTACTTATATGAAATACAAAAAAAAACCAAAAAACAAAAAAAAACCCAAAATCAAAACCAAAAAAAACCCCTCTAGTAGAACTGCTAACTAGATCCAGAAAAGTTGCAATTATATATATATATATATATATATATATATATATATATATATATATATATATATTTGGTATATGTGTAAGGATTCAGGCATTATGTTGGCTGCCCCTGTCACCTGGCAGAATGCACTCAGGCAGTACCCTGGCCAGCCAAGGTGCAAAGGGCCCTTTAAAAGAAAGACCTCTACCCACTTAAAACTTTCTTTCCCTCTCTTTCTGCTCTTTCCCACTCCTGCTTTTTCCCCCTCTCTCATTCCTGCTCTTTTTCCTCTCTCTTTCCCGCTGTTCCTCTGGGGCAGACTGGACTTTTCTGTCTCCCTCTTCTCTTCTGTCCTCTCTCTGTCTCTGTGTCTCTTTACCTCTTTCCTCTTTCCTTCCCCCTTCCCTTTCTAATAAAACTTCTCACTTAAGCTCTGTCTGCCTGGCATGTTTGTGTCCCCCACCTAGGTCACCCTTACCTGCCATGGAATCTGCATTATGCCCATAAGTGACTTGTTGGAAATAGAAATAAATCAGTCACGTCCTTAGGAGGAAACTTAACTACAAGACATTGTTGAGAAAATTAAAGAGGAAAAAAGAAAAGTAGAAAATTTTTGTACTATGCCAATTTAATCTACATAAAAATTCTAATGAGCTGGAGGGTGATGGTGCACAACATTAGTCCCAGCACTTGTCAGGCAGTGGCAGGTGGCTATCAGTGAGTAAGAACAGAAGAAAGGGTGGTAAACATACTTCAAAACTGGAATGATCAAACCAACACAGTTTGGGTTTAAAACAGACAGGTGAATTACCAGGTAGCCCAGAAGGTATTATGAACATGAATGAGACAAGGGACAGTTCTTTTCAACAAGAGCTTCACATGTACAGAATATCTACATGCAGAAGAGTAAAAACCAGATACCTCGTTTTCATCAGTTACAAAAATCAATTGAAAGTAAATTAAAGATTCATAGGAGACATGGAATTTTGGGAGGAAAACAAGGGAAACACCTCAGAACATTGGCAAGGGCAAGGATTTTTGGCACAGAGCACCGAAAGTACAGCAAAACAAAACCAGAAGTAGATGAATGGGATTTCATCAAATTAAAAGGCTCTTGCACAGCAAAAGAAATAGCTGATGGAGTGAAGAGACATTATATCAAAGGAGAGAGACTCTATACTACGGAAAAAGGGATTGAAAGCCAGAATAGAAGGAATTACAGAAACATACTGGCAAGGAAGCATATGACCTACTTTGTAAATAAGCATCAGGTCTAAGCAGACATTTCCCAAAATGACAAACAGGAATATTGATGTGCAAATTAAAAATTGCACAAATACATCACTTCCTTGCAGTAGAAATTATCATTAGCAAAAACCAATGAAAATAATAAAGTGAACAAAGGTTTGGAGAAACCTTGCAAACTGTTAGTGTGGATTTAAAATAGAATAGTCATTATAGAAAACAGTATGGAAGTTTCAGAGAGAGAGAGAGACAGAGAGAGAGAGAGACAGAGAGAGAGAGAATGAATTACCATGTGACCTGGCAATCCATATATCAGAAGGAAACAAAATCAGTATGTTGGGAGTCTTCTTTGCAACACAATACCCACAAAATAGAAATAAATTAAATGTTCAGGAATTTGTAAATGGATGAAGAAAATGTGGTGTATATAGAAGTGGATTACTAGTTATACTAGTTTTCATTACAGGAATGAGTTCTGTCATTTATGACATCTGTGGAAATAGGGATTATATTAAAAGAAATAGGGCAGCTACAGAAAGACAGTGATTAGTCCTCTCTCAGAAACTGAGTGGAAGACAGCGATGACCAAGCACACTGGGAGGGGCTCAGTGATGGCTTTTGAGTAACAGTGAGTAAATGTGAGAGTTGTGGTGTAGGATTGCAAAAGAAAGATAGAATTTCATTTCAAAGAGCTAAAAGGAATTTGAGGTTTTACCATAAAGAAATGAGTAATATTGGAGGTGAATATTCTTAACCTGACTTAGACAATATATGAATTGTCTGTAGACCATAGCATAGTAGACCATCAATAAGTGTAACTTTATAATTTTATGTATCACCCAAAATTAGTAAACATGTATCACTTTGCATAGTTGATAATCTATGGATCCTAGGTTTCTTGGTGATTGGCTGGTGCTTAGGGGTTAAGGACAATCCTCTGCAGCTTGTGTCCCTTCTCAGGCCCAAGGCAACCAGAGCCTGGCTTCTATTTTAGCTAGTATATACTCAGTAAGCTGCCAAGCTCACTGACTCTCCTTTCCAACATCTACTGAAGTAAGGAATGTCCCTTGTGCTGCTGGCTCTTTTGTCCCAGCTTCTCTTGCAGCAAGTGCTTGGTATTGCTAAAGGGTATTACATCTAAATCCCACTTAGCAAGTGTCTCTAATCAAACTAGAAAAGAATCTTTATTATAATATTTAAAACATGAACCTCAATGACCCAGTAGAATCCTATCTGTGGAAACAGTGATTTTTCTAATGCAAATAATAGTATTTAAGAATGTTCTTAAGCATGGGTGTGTAGGAGCAGGGATGTTAATAAGTTCATGGTTCTGGGATCTTTATTTGAATTTGATTTTGAAGGCATCTAAAGTTAAAGTGGGTTTATTTCTAAGGTGCTCTGAAAGAGTCGTTGTGTGTTTTGTCAAAGCATCAGAGGTGAAGCAGTTGAGGGTGTGAGAAGAACCTTAGCCCAAGCTCCCTGGAGGGCTCCACAATGTTAGGGTAGCAGAGATAACAGCAGGCCAGGTTGGTTTCAGTTTGACCTTGAATGACTCACTATGACCTCAAAATAATGAGAAATGTTTAAGCCATAAGCCACGTGTGTTACCTGAAAACAGAATTTGTTCACACACACACACAAACACAACCACCCACCCCCCACACATACTTGTGTATTTTAAAGGCTTCCATTTTTATTTCCTAGGTTGAATTTGGCTTCTGAAATTTACTTTGTTCCAACCCTAGATCAGAAAGTTCCCATAGTCCTAGATTGCATGTGCACAAAATACCACAGATTCATATTTGAGCATAGGTAGCTCAGACTCACCATCAGGATCTGTAGTAGTTTCAGTGTCGCTGGAACATTGGCTTTTCACAAGCACAGAAGGTGCATCCTCACCTTGGGCGGAAGAAAGGAAGGCAGGGAGCCCTGGTTAGCAGAGAATCAGCACAGCCCTGCTGCCAGTCTGCTCTAGGCCTCCACTGACCTCTTCAATTTAAAATGACTCTGGGGATTTAACTTCTGCAGAGTGGGTTACAGGAGGGAGCTGTGGGTCGAGGATGCTTGCATGCTTGTGTATTGTCTCCTAAACTCTCCTTAATTTGTGAGATAATCACATACCTAAATGGTTTCTCAAATTAGGAATCTAGTGGGATAGAAAGAATATGCTTTAATCAACAGTGTGCAGTGAGAGAGAGAGAGAGAGAGAGAGAGAGAGAGAGAGAGAGAGAGAGAGAGAGAGAGAGTCTTTAAACAAAACCTTGAAGGAAAAAAAGCCTGATCTTGCCTTAGGCATGCCTGAAAGCTGAAAGGTCCCATCTCTTCCCAGGTCAGGTTTCTTGTTAAACTCCAGAAGGGGTAACACAGCTACCTCCCCAGGAGACCTTCTAAGACACTGGGAGTGTCTAGCCTGCTGCTCCCTTGTTGTAACCTGTTTTCTATATAACCCTCAGAAAGAAAGTCATCCATTCACTATGGCTCAAGTTATAAAACAGCCTCACCCCCATAAAAACAAAAACAAAAACAAACAAACAAAACCCCAAATCTTCAAGGTTTCTCAGTGGAGTCCTGGCTGTCCTGGAACTCTGTAAACCAGGCTGGCCTCCAGTGCAGAGGTTCTCTTGAACTCTGCCTCCTTCGTGCTTACATCCAGCTTGAACAATATTAACTGCTCCTGGGAGAGGATTGTCCAGATACTTAGAAGTACGATAACCTCTTAGATCTTAAATACCTAGTATGTTTTTCCCAATATGAATGCCCTTGCTGGGAATTTACAAATGCAAATACTTGAAGATTTTATTTCTGTACTTTTTAAGGAGAAGGTGAGATCATTTGGCAGGAGGACAGCCTGAGAGGAGGCTATGGTAAATTTGGTGTGTCAAGTGAGGATAAAGCAAGAGGAGGTAGCTCCAATTTATAATCTTCCAGGGGGGAAAGACTTTTGCTGATGGAGTCTGTACTTCTGGCAACCATTTACTGATATTGACAGTGAAGAAATATGACACAGTGTATCTGCTTCTATGTTGAGATCTCTGATCCACTTGGACTGGAGTTTTGGGGGGGGTTAGATATGGATTTATTTGCATATTTCTACATGCTGACATCCAGTTAGACCAGTACCATTTGTTGAAGATGCTTTCTTTTTTCACTGTATATTGGTGGCTTATTTATCACAAATCAGGTGTCCATAGATTTACATCTGAGTCTTCAGTATGGTTTCATCCATCAAGTGTCTGATACCATGTGGTTTTTATTACTATAACTCTATAGTAGAGCTTGAAATCAGGAATGGTGATTATCTCCAGAAGTTCTTTTATTGTACAGCATTGTTTTAGTTATCCTGGGTTTTTCCATATGAAGCTTAGTATTGTTCTTTCAAGTTCTGTAAAGAATTGTGTTGGAATTTTGATGTGTATTGCATGGATGGCTTTGGTAAGGTGATGGGCATTACATGGATGGGCTTTTGGTAAGGTGGCCATTTTACAAAGTTAGGCCTACCAATCCATGAGCATGGGGGATCTTTCCACCTTCTGATATCTTCTTTCATTTCTTTCTTCAAAGACTTGAAGTTCTTGTCATATAGGTCTTTCACTTGCTTAATTAGAGTTATAGCAATACATTCTGTATTATTTGTGGCTGTGGTGAAGGGTGTTGTTTCCCTAATTTCATTTGTATATAGGAGGGCTATTGATGGATTTTTTTGAGTTTACTCTGTATCCAGCTACTCTGCTGAAGGTGTTTATCAGCTGTAGCAGTTCCTTGGCAGAATTTTAGGGGTCAGTTATGTATACTATCATATCATCTGCAAATAGGGATACTTTGACTTCTTCCTTTCTAATTTGTATCCCTTTTAGTTGTCTTATTGTTCTAACTAGAACTCCAAGTGTATGTTGAATAACTATAGACAGATTTTAGTGGAAGTGCTTTAAATTTCTCTCCATTTAATTTGATGTTGACTATTGGCTTGTTGTATATGTAATGAGAAAAATAAAAGGACCCCAACTAAGCAAGGGACCCCTGACTCCAGGCTACACCACAATATTCCCACCACAATAAGAGGGGAGCCTGAGCTCATCACAAACTGTGTAAAAATCACTCCCCACTCCATTGTTTCTCAAGAAAACTGGGAACTAGGTAGACCTGTCTGCCATAAATCCCCCAGTCCCCAGGGATGTCCTTAAAGAGACAGGGAACTAGATAACATCTCCCAGCCCCCAGGATGTGTTAATCAAACCCACCTGAACAGAGGACAGTTAAGGCTCCTTTGCTTAATACCCTTTGTCTTACAGTTAACCTTGTGTAGAAACTTTGTAACCTTGTGCACTAAGAAATCTCTGTAACCATGGAAACCTTGTGATGTGAGATCAGGGGTCTCACCACCCCCTTCCTGTTCTTTGCTCTTTAAAACGCCTTGCATTTGTAGTTTGTGGCTTCAACTCTCCAGGCAGAGTGAAGCCCCAGCTAGCTGGTGTTTTGTTTTGTTTTTTAATAAATACCGTTTTGTGTTTGCATTTGGGTGTTGCTGGCTCCTTGAAGCTTTAGGGGGTCTCTTGGTGGGCACAATATATGCAGCCTTTATTATGTTTAGGTATGTCTCTTGCATTCCTGATCTCTCTAAGACTTTTGTCATGAAGGAGTGTTGGATTTTGTCTAATGAGATTATTATGTTGGCCTTTTTTTTTTCTTTCAGTTTATACGGTAAATTACATTGACAGTTTTTCATCATCAATTCTTGCATCTCTTTAACGAAGTCTACCTGATTATGGTGATGCTCTTTTTAATGTGTTTTTGGATTCAGATTGTGAATATTTTATTGAGTATTTTTGCATCAATGTTCATGAGGGAAATGGATCTATAATTCTCTTTCTTTGTTTAGTCTTTGTGTGGTTTGGGTATTAGGATAATTGTGGTCTTATAAATGAATTTGGCAATGTTTCTTTTGTTTCTATTTTGTGGAATAATGTGAGGAGTATTGATATTAGCTCTTCTTTGAAAGTCTGGTAGAAACCTGTGCTAAACCATCTGGCCCTGGGCTTTTTATTTCCTTAGGGGATATAGGTTTATTTAAATCGTTTGATCTTGATTTAACTTTGGTAAGTGGTCTCTCTTGAGGAAATTGTCCATTTACTTTAGATTCCAAGTTTTTGGAATACAGGATTTTGAAGTATGATCTAATGATTCCTTGTCTTTCTGAACCCGATAGAAGAGAAAATGGGGAATAGGCTTGAACAAAATGCATTGCCACCAGATGCAACTTCCTGAACAGAGCATCAATTGCACAGACACTAAGATCAATGAATAAATGAGAGCCTTCAACCTCATGAAACTGGAAACCTTCTGAAAGGCAAAGGGTGCTGTGAAAAGAACAATACAGCAGCCTACAGGATGTCAAAAGATTTTCACCAACCTCATGCCTGACAGAAGACTAATTTCCAAAATATATAAAGGACTCAAGAAACTAGACATTAACAAACAAAATGATTCAATTAAAAAATGGGGTACAGATCTGAACAGAATTCTTAATAGATGAATCTTAAATGGCCAAGAAACACATAAAGAAATGTTCAACATCCTTACCCATCAGAGAAATGCAAATCAAAATGACTCAGATTCCATCTTATACCTGTCAGAATAACTGAGATGAGAAACAACAGTGACAGTTCATGTTGGAAAGGATGTCGATTAAGGGAAACATTCCTTCTCCATTGGTGGTGGGAGTGAAAATTTGTACAGTCAATTTGTAAATAAATATGGCAATTTCTCAGAAAATTGGGAATTGATCTACCTCAAGACCCAGCTACACCACTCCTGGGCATATGCCCAGAGGACACTATCATACCACAATGAAACTTGCTCAACTACATTCATAGCAACTTTATTTGTAATAACCAGAGAATGGAAACAACCTCAATGTCCCTTAACCAAAGGATAAAGAAAATGTGGTATATTTACACAATGGAGTATTATTTAGCTGTTAAAAACAATGACAATGTGAAATTTGCCAGAAAATGGATGGAACTAGAAAATACCATCTCGAGTGAGGTAACTGAGACCCAGAAAGACAAACATGGTATGTACTCACTTATTCATGGATATTGGTTGTTAAGTAAATGATAATCAAACTATAATCCACAAACCCAAAGACGCTAGGTAATAAGGAGGGCAGAAACAGAGGCACATGAACCTCTCTGTGAAAGGCAAATGGAACATACATCACAGGTAAATGGGGGTTATGGATAGGGTAGGGTAGGATGGGAATAGGAGGGATCAGGTTGGGAGAGGATGGAGGGAGGGAGTACTGGAAAAGACAACTGGAATCAGGGGCATCTCTGGGATGAACTAGAATGTTATACAATGGAAACTCCCAGGAATCTGTAAGACTGACCCTGGTTAAGATTCCTAGCAATGGATGATATGGAACCTGAACAGGCCATCTCCTGTAATACTTCCAGTGGAGGGACTAGGACCCCAACCTAGCCATATAACCTTTGACCTACAATTTTCTCTGACTACCAGATATTCTGGGGTAAAGGTTGCACAGAATTTATGGGAGTGGCCAACTGTAGACCCATAACATGAGAGGGAGCCCACCTCTAATGTTGCCCAGAGAGCTAGGACCCAGAAGCTGGGCAGCCCAGAGACCCAGGAGAGAACCAAACATGAATGGCAATAAATAAATTAATAAATGTCAGTGAAATGATTCCTAATGACATTCTAAGTATCATAGACTGTTGCTTAGCCCAATTGTCATCAGAGAGACTTCACCCAGAAACTGATGGGATAGACAAACATTAGGATCTCAGGGAATCTTGCTGAAAAGAGATAAGAAGAAATGTAGGTGTCAGAGGGGTAAGGGGGACAAGAAAACTCACAGCATCAACACATCTGGGCTCTCAGGG